ATAATATTTCTTCAAGATCCAGCTAAAAAAGACTTTAATCTTCCTGAAGGTCAGGATCACATCTTAAGTTTTCAAGGTAGCCTACCTGCCATTCATACCCAGGTATTGCTTCTTGATTACTTCTGCTTCTATTACTTGCTGACCTTTATTGCCTATTTCATTCATTCTCTAAGTGTTACTGATTATTTTGCCACAGTGTCGCTTCCAAATTTCATCCTATTTCCTGATTCCATGGCAATTGCTCATATAGTTAGGTCTTTAAGCATCTATAGTGAGTAGCCTTGCACCCAGTTTAACTGCTCCCAGTCTTACTCTTTCAGTTAATATTTGTAAACTGGCCTATATTTTGACTTATAAAAAATGTGCCCTGTCTTATGTAACTCATCCAAAACCTGCTTGAAATTATGTGTGGGTATAAATATGTGAATAAATCCTATATTGATTTATTGAAATTCTTAATCATTTTATCATCACATTCCTGCTCAAGACGCTACAGTTTTCTATTGAATCAAATTTTAAAACTGTACCTGGTTCTATTACTTCCTCTCCCATCACTTTTATCATTCTCTCAAGAGGAAACTCTTACTTTCCTCCACTGAAAAATTAACCCATTCATCTTCTATTTTATTTCCAGCAATAGTATGACTTTTAAAAAGAACTGAAGCCTTTGCCTCCAAGCCACAGTATAACAGGACATTGTGGCAGGACATTGTATGGCTGTCCTCTAAAATCTTTTCTCCTCATATACTATAGTGTGCTCAGTATATGGCTGCCCAGCTATACTACCAGCTTCCTTGTGGTGAGGTTGTCTATATGACCAAGTTCTTTCCAATGGAATTTTGGCAGATGTGATATGTGCTTGCTCATAAAACCCACCCGCCTTTACTCTTTTCTACTTTTGTGTACTGGAATGACCACTGTGATAACCCAAGCATCTGTAAAGGCCACATGTTGAAGACAGCAGTTCCTTCATTAGCCTGGGTCCTTAAATGTTTCATAGAGCAAGCCCTCATCCCACCACCATCAGCCAGCTTGGAACTTATACATTGGACTGTTACATGAAAGAAAAAAAAAACTCTTATTCTTAGATGAGCCTCTTTTAAATGGATGGGTATGCTCTTAAATTATTTTAAGGCTCTCCTAAATAAGTTTAAAGTTTTTCTTCAGGTACTCCACAAAGAGCTCCATTCTGTGCATGCACTGGTTGACATCCTCCCAGGAAACAGAGAGCTCTGCTCTGCACCGGTGCCAGTCGGTATCTGCTCACCATGAGAACCTAGAAAGCAAAGAAATCTACTTTACACCTGTGTGAAGAACCCAGCCCTATCTAAGCCAGACCTGACAGCAGTTCAGAGAGCCATATTCTTCATTAGTGTGTGCTCCCTTGAGGCATCAAACTCCCTCCCTTTCTCCTTTCCATCTACTTTGTTTTCAGTAAACCCCGTAATAGATCTGATGTCTATCTTGAGGGGTGTGGGCAAGAACCCTTTTGCCTGTGATATTCTAATGAGTAAATGTTAGTTCTACTTGTTACAGCAGTTTGCACATAGGGCAAGTGTGCAAAAAGTTACTGAGGAAAACATCACATGGCCTGAAGATTGGCCTGGGACTGACTTCCCACATACTGACTCAATCCATTTTCCCCAGATCGCATTAATTCCCAAGATGTTTTGTCTAAGTCTTCCCGCCCCCCTCTTTTTTGTAGTTCATTTTGATGCCTTCTTTGGCTTAAAGACCTAGGATCCCCCTTGACCCTCAACTCAGTTTGCCCATCTTTCAGCTTCACCTACCACTCTGGATAAGCCATATCCATAGCAAATCCCTCATGCCCCTTAGAAAACTCAGGAAAAAAGGAGTGATTCAAATATTTAAAGCTTTACAAATGTCATTATCTCAGCACAGGTTCTAATCCTTTTTTCATTCCTCCTCTCATCAATACCCTTTTCCTTTCCTTCCAGATATGACTCAAAATCCTTCTATAGGAATAAAATACCTATAAATTCATACCACCTCTTAGATCATTTTCTTAATCCACATACCCTTCTGCATCTTGAACCACCATAACAGCTTGTAGTTTTTGTGTTTTTTTGGTGTAGGAGGTGGGCCTAGTATGGCTAGGACCCCACCCCTTTCTTCCATTGTCCAATTTGTAATTATTGATATTGGGAGGAGAGACAAAGGTATTTGTCTTGTAATCAAGAAATGGAGGGTAAGATGGGTCTCAGGAGATAATGGGGAGCCAGAATCAAGGGAAAGAGTGTGTAGTGTTTTCTCTCAACCCTGTACCATGGATGGGTTTGATTATTGGGTGTTTTGGACGGAAGGCACAGTCATTTTTGTTAACGTGGGAACTAGGAATGCTCTTTTGGAATCCAGGTGACAAAGACTGGAATGAAATTAGGTTAAGGCAGCGGTTCTCAACCTGTGGGTCGTGACCCCTTTGGGGGTCGAAAGTCCCTTTCACAAGGGGTTGCCTAAGACCATCGGAAAACACATATATAATTACATATTGGTTTTGTGATTAATCACTATGCTTTAATTATGTTCAATTTGTAACAATGAAATTGGGGGTCACCACAACATAAGGAACTGTATTAAAAGGTCGCGGCATTAGGAAGGTTGAGAATCACTGGGTTAAGGTCTTTCTACATGGAACCTCACACTACTCTGGCACCCCAAGGAATGGTGGTTTGTAAGAACTGAGAGATAGAATCAGTGGCAGAGACTTGGCTTCCACATAATGGATATCATCTTCAAGGGTTAACAGTGAGGTTCCTTAGAACAGCTTTGCAGGTAGCAGATGTTGCCAAAAGGAAACAGAGTATGAAAAAGAAAACATGGCAATCATGTAGTGACTATAGCAGAAATGTTGATTGCAAACACCATTGCTCCACTCTCTTCACCTCACTCCTACACTTTGGAGACTCCCAGCAAAGTTGTAAGAAATACTGGAAGTCCCTTTAGCAAGCCGGGGTGGGAATGAAAACTATAAGTTCTTGATGTTAATAGATGGTGTATGTATCCACAGGCTGGTGAGGCCTAGAGGCAATTTGGTTAACTACATGTACTTGAATTCCCTTATATGTGCTTTTTAAATGTTTCTAGCTTTTTTCTAAGTGTCTATTTTGAATCTGAATGTTAGTTCATTGAGAACAGAGATAATGTATTTTGTCTCTGTTTTTTCTCTCTGAGACTTAAAAACTATGTTTGTCCTGTAGAAATCCCTTTGCTTCCATTTCATTCCATCTCCTTCTTTTATCAAACATCCACTGATGTGCAGGAATTGTTCTCCAGTAACCTTAACCACTGGGTCTTCTCTACCTTAAGTACTTAATGGAAACAATTTTATCCAAAGACAATTGCTTTGTTAGTGTCCAAATACTAGCATTTTATTTTTAATGCATAACTTTATTGAGTCACAAAGTATGACTGATTGCTTACCTGCTTTCATATCCAATAACTGGTATGCTGCACAATACATTCTATAATGAATCTATATATCATTTAGTATATTTCATTTATAACATCCAAGAAATTTTTATATTTTTAATTGTCGGCACTACTTAATACATACTCTTTAAAATTACCTCATTCATATTATAACAATCACTTTACCTTATTAAAACAAGTATACATACAGCACTATCACCAGACAATAATTCTGCTTCAAACATAGACAACATTGATTAATATTAACTTCAGGCAAGCCATAAATAAGCAAAATTTCGGAGGGTGAGGTAATTGAATGTTTGGAAGTTGATTTTCTCCCTCTCCTTTTAAATAAAAAACACACATTGCTTACAATTTAACACACTTATTTTCTAATGGTCAGTACTTAAAATATCAGCCACATGTGCCAAAATTATAGTCTTTCTTCTTCTCATCTTCATGACCAATATTAATGGCCAAGAAATACTAGTAAACTACATCATGAGCCTGATACTAAACAAAATTTCTGTCTGTGTATTCAGCTGCCCACCTTTGGTAAGTAAATGAGCAGTACAGAACTTCTATTTACCCACACCTCCCAACCAAACCAAAGGTTAAGAGTAAATAAAACATAGATGTCAAATATGTGATAGCTTTGCCTTCACTTTACAACAAAGAAACCTACCGCCAATTGTTTATAACCTGTAATAAAACTGTAGGCAGCACACAAACAATGAACAGCTGAACAGATCAGCTGCATGAACTCTTGCTTTGAGAATTCATTGTACAATTGTCATTCTTCTCTCCTTTCACTTCATATTGTTTTGCAGCATGTCATTTTGCTGCCAGTGGTTTTTAATACATGTTATTTCACTTCTTATTATTTCATGTCTAATTTCTTTATTCCTTCTAATGTCATGTTTTTTTTTTCATTTCTTGTTACATGTTATGTTGCTTTGTTGCAGATGGCGCACTTCATGTCAGTTTATTGCATTTTTAGGTTATAAGATCAGGAAAGCTCTGAAATATATATTTCTCCTGATCTCTTTGATACTCTTCCTGGGCTGTCTGCAGCTTGCGACCTTTCAGCCTCCACTTGTGGAAACAGTACGTCACAAAGGAAGTCATTACCAATGAGAAAATAATCATCAACACTATTATCAAGGCCACTGTGGAGGAAAGTGGAGCCTCCAGATGGGTGACTTCAGCCTGTATGGTTGCATTCAGCTTATCAACATTCTCATAGTCCTCAGAAGTCCAGAAGGTAGGCATGAATCCTAAGTTGAAGGGTGATTTCACTGGAAAAAACAACAACAATGAAACTGTTCCCCTCACAGCTTCCTGGTTTGAAGATGGTGCAGAAGAGTGGACTTGGATTCTCTGTTCAGGAAAATGGCAGCAACCTCCACTAGGTGGCCTCAGGATCTGGTTTTGAAGAGAGTGGAGTCAACTTTCCATTAATATTGGGCTACTGAAATTAAATTTCTTAAAAGTTTTAAAACCCCAAGAGTGACTGCAGCATACACAAGACACAGGCAGTTCGTTGATTAAGTAGGACAGGGTATATTCATGATATTTTAAGAGATATCAGCAGAACCTGTCTCCTTTCTTTTGGATGTTAATATTCATAGACTTTGACAACAAGGACTTTCCTTAAAGGCTCTTTAATGAGAAACTAAGCATTTTCTAAAATTATAGAAAATTGGGCACCTATAAAAATAAACCAGGCCCAAATAGTATGTATTTGGTAAACATTTTAACTCTAGTTAAAGGACCATATTATCTGAAAAACAAGGTAAAATAGTCATTTTGGAAACACACCAACCCACATAACCTGTGGCACACAAGAGCACAATACTATTTTCAACCTCCATTCTAGAGTAGTTCCCTTGAGTGGCTGGTTTCAGTGTGAGAAATGTAATGATGGAGTTAATCTAGAACAAAAAAATTTAAAATAATGTATGCTTAGAAAATACTTCATATTTTTCAAAAGATTGCTTATATACTGTCATTTTCATAATTACCACCTATCATTACCCCCAATACCTCTCTGTAACTCCACCTAAATTTAGACAGTCTGAGTAGTAGCTTTTGTTTATGGAATAACAACTCAAGCCATAATCATATTTCTTGTTTAAAGTTTTATTGATTTTTAGAGTGAGAGAAACATCTATGTGAGAAACCTCTATTGGTTGCCTCCCTTATGCATCCTGACCAGGGATCAGGCCTGCAACCTGGGTATGTGCCCTGACCGGGAATCTAACCAGCCACCTTTTGGTATATGGGAAGACTCTCAACCAACTGAGCCACACTGCCAGGGCAGCAATCAGTTTTTTAATGCGAATCTATAGCATAGCCCTCTCTGCAATGGAGAACTGACTGTGATTACTAATGAACTGTGTTATTAAGCACTTTCCAATTCTAACACACTCCTGTTTACTATAAATTGGCATACTATTATTATTAAAAGAAGTAAATTAAAGCTTTTCCTTAATCAGAAGCACATATGCTCCCACAACGTTAACTTTCAAAATAATTTAAATGCTGGATTTTAGAGAAGCTTTAAGGCAAGAAATATGGTACACCTTGATAAAAAGATGGTGAAAGGTTAACGTGGTGGTATGCAAGCAAGTTAAATAGTCATCTCAGATGGTGGATAAAGAAAATTTGAATTTATTTAAGGAAAGGAGATGGGGGATGGGATATCCAAAGGGAAGGGCTGCATAGCACTGAGCCAAGGGAATATTAGGTTGATGATGGCAGCACCCAGGAGCTGGAATTTTATCCTTATATGTAGTCACTGGCTGGAAGCTCTTGTTGTCAGTAGGTCTTGGGGCTGAGTTGGTGGGCTTGGAATATGGATAGAAAGTGAATGTGTGATCAGGTGTTTTTAGGACAGTTTTAACTCCTTATATGGTCTGTTCCTGGTGTCCAGCAAGTTTTCCTGGTCTTTGTCCTCCTGTGGCAGAAAACTTGGACAAGTTTTTCTTGGTCTTTGTTCTCCTGTGGCAGGAGGCTTACAAATGGCTGTTAAGAATTATATTGGCCTATAGTCCAAACAGATAGGATAGAGGATTTAAGGGTACACACCTGATAAATAGTTAAAGTTATGGAAATATAAACAAAATATAGTCAAAGTTCAAGATACAGGCAGTAAACATTATGTTCTACTGCCCAAAATGTACAACACAGTGCAGAAGTGTTACAGAAAAATGCTCCCATTAGTGACTCTAAGATATAGCTCAGAATAATCCCCATTTTGAGCAATTTATTTGTTTTGGTGTGTGCCATTTGAAAAAATGCAGCTTCTGATAGTTCCTTGATGAATATGGGGGGTATATTTTACTCACATTCAAAGAGTTCAATGACAACACCATTATGTCATTTGGATAAAATGATAAAAAAACTGAAAATGAAAATGACAAGGTAAGTTCATCTTTTGAGAGAGGAGCTGGGGTTCCATTGCACTGCATTTCAACAGCCCCTATGCCTTGTAACTTCTCCTTTTAAAGTGACCCACTTATCTTGGTAGAGCAAGGCAGGCAAAATGGAAGGCTTACATTTCTCTTCTCTGGTTTGTGCAGATACCAGAGGGCAGAGATATTTTGAGGCCCTCTGTATGTTCTTCCCCCAAAAGGCCAATTTATTCTTTAAAGAACATCACCCCCTCCCTTTCCAGATCTGTTTCTGGCTTCATTAGAGGGACCAGTGTAGTTGGAGATATATCTTGGAGTTTCATCAAGTCATAGAATCCTAGACTGTCATAGCTGGCAGAGGCTTTAAGCAGTTTCCCTTATTTTTCAGTTTAAAATCCTGAGAGTCCAACTAGGAAGATGGGAGACATGTTTAGCACTTTCAAAGTGATATTCTGCCTGCAGCAGAGAATGAAATACCAAGTTTCCAATGCCAATTAAGTCATGGATTAAAGATTCACTGTGAAGTACTTGTCTCAATTAGAGAGCTGCTGCTGAGCTTGCTTTGGCAACCAAGGGAAGTAGTGTGCTTCAGCAAACCCTTTTCAAATTACCTTTAAAAACTGTCCCCATTCATTAGTCAGAGTGAGACAGGCCAGTAAGCCAGGATAAGTAGAATAGGAAAACTGAGACAGATAGCTGAACAAACTGGCAGAGCAATTTACAGCAGATATAGAAATTCACATCCCTAGAGATAACATCTAGGCCTCAGTTGTATTTAAGCTCCAGTTCCAGAAAAGCAGCAAAACCAGGTGGACTACACCAGAACCAACAGCAATGACTAATGACTCCCTGCCTTGACACTGGCCAATCAGTGGAGACCATGACCCGGAAAGGACACACCTGGAAAGCTGATGAATATTCTGCTAAAACCCTCCCCTGAGACCTCCCCTAAAATTCTAGCCTACAAGAGAGATAAAAGCCTCAAAACAAAAAACTCAGCTCACCCTCTCCCTCTGGGTAACTGCCCCTGTCATTTCCTTCCCCCTATTCTTCCCTCTCTTCATGCCCCTAGGAGTATATCTCCTAAACTCTATTTCCCCAAGAGACTTGCAACCAGGGGAGTAATGGGCAGCAGCAGCTCATCCCAGGCTACTACTCTGAATCTGTCCCCAAGGCCCCCTTTTCTCTGACTTTCCAGAGAGCTAAGGAAGCCCAGCCTAGGCTCTCCTGTTGCTGCTTCTATACCAGGGGTTCTCAAACTTTTTAAACAGGGGGCCAGTTCACTGTCCCTCAGACCGTTGGAGGGCCAGACTATAGTTTTAAAAAAAACTATGAACAAATTCCTATGCACACTGCACATATCTTATTTTGAAGTAAAAAAACAAAACGGGAACAAATACAATATTTGTATTTGCATGTGGCCCGTGGGCCGTAGTTTGAAGACCCCTGTTCTATGCTAAGCCCTACCTTGTTGTAATGTTCCCAGCTTTAGTAAATGTCTTCTAAAATTCACCTGGACTAGTGTTGTGAAATTCTTCCTGCACAAAGTCAAGAACCCACACACTATTGGTTGGCTCTAAGCAGACCTGCTCAGGGCCAGGTCCCCTTTCCGATAACAAGAGCAGTCTTGGGTTCATGGAAGCAGATCTTATTGACTGTGCAATCTAGTTTGTGGCCAAGAGCTAGTCACATCTTTTCTGTTCAACAGACCATGGAAATCATGGCAACAGATTTTGGCTCTATCAGGAGATTACAATCCGCAAAAGAATTTATGTCACCAGTTGTTCTGTGCCAGGGACAACTTATCAGATGGTGGTTTCTACAACAGAATAATCTCTTCTCCATCTATAATATATTCAAGTAAAATAATAAGCTCATTAAGATTAAAGTAGCCTGGCCCACATGGCTCAGTGGTTAAGTGTCAACCTATGAACCAGGCGGTCACAGTTCTATTCCTGGTCAGGACACATGCCCGGGTTTCGGGCTCGATCCCCAGTGTAGGGCCTGCAGGAGGAAGCCAATCAATAATTCTCTCTCATCAGTGATGTTTCTATCTCTCCCTCTCTGAAAATAATAGAAATATATATTTTAAAAAGATCAAGACATATTTTTTCTCAGAAAAAAGGCAAAAAAACCCAAATAAACAAAAAAAAGGTCCCCATTTAACTATCTGCCCAGACCCCATCTTTGCCCTCAAAAACTGGAATCTTATTATTGTAATGGAGTAGCCCACAGAAGGAAAATAAACCCAGAGTTCCTTCTCTTTTCCATGCCACTGTCAAATCACATGAATGAACAATTATTTATATCAGGAGGGGCTTTCATAATTAGTTATACAAGTCATTCACTAAAAGTACAGATTTGGTTTTGAATAACAAGAAATATAATGAAATTTTAAATGAGCCAATTAGTGATTTTATTATGTCTATGCAATGTCCTGTCCCATTTCCTCTGTTTAGCCAAGTTTAAACTCTAAAGAGAAATTCCAAGAAAAAGAGAATGAGGGTGGGAGTGGGGTAATTGAAGGCCTCAGATTTATTCCTTGATTTCAAGTGAATTCAACAAAAACTCATCTAACTAAAGTGTGTGTGTGTTGTGTGTGTGTGTGTGTGTGTGTGTGTGTTGCATACAAACAGAGGATACAGAGGGGTGGGATTCAGCTAAAGAAACATAGAAGGCCTCCAGCTTCCTTGCTTCAGTACCCTGCCTCAGGTACCATCTTGAAAGTGAGTCCTTTCAGTGTAGGTATCACATGTTCAAGTCAATTAGCTTGTTCTTTTCTCATTCCTGAAATCCAGCATCTGAAGTTTCCAGAAACTTTGTGAAGCCAACTCATATTGATCACTTACTAGTGCCTTTAAGGATATGCTCTGGTCTTCACTCCTTTCTCTCATTCTCTTCTTCTATACCTTATGACTCCTCCCCAAGGAAAAATAGTTCCCATACTGTTTATGAATAGACGAGCAAGAAAAAATAAAAAATGAAACAGAAAACAAGACTCCATGGCCTAGCCCTAGCCAGTTTGGCTCAGTGGACAGAGTGTCGGCCTTAGGACTTAAGGGTCCCCAGTTCAATTCTGGTCAAGGACACATACCTCAGTTGCAGGCTCTATCCCAACCCTGGTTGGGGCACGTGCTGGAGGCAACCAATCCATGTATCTCTCTCACATTGATGTTTCTCTCTCTGTCTCTCCCCCTCTCTCTGAAAATCAATGGAAAAATATCCTCGGGTGAGGATTAATATGGGGGGAGGGGGGGGAATAGCCCCTGAATTGAAAAACAAAACAAAACAAAAAAATACACAAAACTCCATGACCTAAAACTTTCTCTTTTATATATGTTTGTAAGAGTAATTGGTGGTTATTATGTGTCTGTTTTAATTTTACTTAAGCATAGGTGGTAATAAAAAATGTCTTTCACCTAACTTGGGACTAAAAAGATTTTCAAATACAAATATTAAAACAAAAACATAAAATATGGCTACCCTTAAAGCAGCCTAGCACTAAAGTATTAAGTCTGCAGTCAAGTTTTCAAGGGCTACATTTCTCTAAAGTAGTGCTGCTAAGGAAGAGCAGGTACCAGCACACTGCTTACTTCAGTAGTCTGATGTTGAGCTAGTCTTCACTTAAAGCCACTAGAAAGAAATATGGGACAGCCAGGGTTGCATTGCAGGTCTAGACATGGTTAGAGACCATCTTTGAAAACCACACATTGAAAATTACTGTCACCTCTTTATTCTTCCACAACAATCTGTAAATCTATTTCCTTACCTAAGTCTAGATATATTGCTTTAGCAGATCAATTTCCTCCCCCAACCCAAAATTAGCTTCTGACTGTACCATAAGAGTGTGTGTGTGTGTGTGTGTGTGTGTGTGTGTGTGTCCTTCCTATGAACAGAGCCCTGCATCTCTGACTAACCTAAATCCCACTTTATACAGGAGTAGAAACTGAGGTGGGGCAGTGGCTCCATAACTATAATGGTTATCTATCTGTCCCACCAGACCATGTCACTGAATTGTCATTTCTTTTTGAATCCCAGCTCAAGTCCTAGTCATGGTTGGAGTCTTAATAGTTACTTGTTGATGGAAAATAGAGGTGATGGGTACTATGAGAGAAAAATTATTACCACTCCCAAGTCAAGGAATTGAAAGTGCATTGATAACTGGGGTAGAATAAGATATTTTTTAAAATATATTTTATTGACTTTTTACAGAGAGGGATAGAGAGTTAGAAACATCGATCAGCTGCCTCCTGCACACTCCCTACTGGGTGTGCCCACAACCAAGGTACATGCCCTTGACTGGAATTGAACCTGGGACCCTTCAGTCTGCAAGCCGGTGCTCTATCCACTGAGCCAAAACGGTTGGGTCTAGAATAAGATATTTGCTTTCAAGATAGGAAGATAGGAGTACTATACTGTCCTAGCCTAGTGAAGGTAATGAGGAGGGATGGGGGCACAGTCTAGGATTCAAAAGGAGGAAAGAACTGGGGGCTTATAACCTTCCCTAGCTCTACCCTTCCCAGGGTACCTTAGGTCCAATACAGATGGCCTAGACTCAGAGCACTATTCTCCCCTTCAGGCTTCCATCTTCTGGGCCATTCAGATGGTTGGTGCAGCTGCTACTGCTGTCAGAGGAAGATGCCAGTATGGATGAAAAGGGGCCACATGCTAACTTGGCTAGCTAAAGTAACCACAAAGGATAGTCTGAAACTAAAACTTTTTTAAACTAAAAGCAGTTTATGGTGGGTAGTCATGTCCTAAGGCAGTATTTTTCCCTAACAAAGGTTAATCTTCACCTTAACTAAACCTGTCCATTTGTCTTTTTGCATCTAAGATAACATGCCTGATTAACATGCCTTTGCAAAAACAAAGTAATTTCCCTTTTTCTGGATGCCTCAAAGTACAGGCACCTCTCTGTGGAGACCACAAATCCCCTCATTGTTACTGAGTTAATTGTTGACTGTTAAACTATCCTGTACTCACCTAAGTAAAAGAAGTTATGTATCTATCATTTTACTTTTTATCCATTCCCAGAGGTTTCTCCCACCTCCCTAATCTATCACCAATGGATTTCATGTAGCCCAGAGAGGGCGAGAGAGAAACATCAATGATGAGAGAGAATCATTGATCGGCTGCCTTCTGCACACTGGGGATTGAGCCAGCAACCTGGGCATGAGCCCTGACTGGGAATAGAACTGTGACCCCCTGGTTCATAGGTCGATGCTCAACCACTGAGCCATGCAGGCCTGGCCTCTCCTCTTTTGATTATAATGTATAAAACAAGGTGCAAAACTGCCATTCTCCAGAGCATTATCTCAATCCTGTTGAGATTCTGCTTCCCTGCAATTGTCAACAGTTTGGCTCAAATAAACTCACAAAAATTCTTCACAAGTTTGAATGTTTCTTATGTTAAAACCAGATAAGGATCTGGAATGAATAAATGCCATCTTCTACCTAGGCCAATATGTTTGCCTGCTCTGCTCCACCACACCCCACCCCATTCCACCCCTCCCTCAATGTGAGATGAAACCTGTGTCTCAAAAGCACTCTCTGGTTTTGTCTGGGGGGATCACTGCCTCTGGGCTCCTGGAGGGTTGTCCACCCCCATTCCAGGTGGGGCATGGTCTCTCAGCTGTTACCTCAAGGACTGTATTGGGATAGAGGGCCCTCCTGAATTGATATTGGAGGCTTGGCAACCGCTGGATGACAGAATTCCGGCGGCATCACCGACCACTACTGCCCTTCTCTTCCCTGCCCCCTCCCTTCCTCCCAGGCATCCCAGAGCAGACGCATCTTGGGGAGGGGTGGCCAGGGAGGAGCCTAGGCACTCTGGAAACCCTTATCAAGCAAGTTTGGATCCCACTGCCACACGTAAGGCCCAGGAATCCGATTGGACACCGGCCCAATTGGAAGGAACCGGCAGCTCTGCGGTCGGGCCTTTCGACCCAATCTCTGTCCACAGCTGCAGCTGGATCCGCACGCCGGTGCCAAGGGAGTGAGTGCCCCAGAGATAAGCGCCAGACCCCGCCCCCATATGTCGGTCCCCTCCGCATTTTTAAAAAGGTCTCTGCCCCACCCAGCGGGCTCTAATGCTGTGCCTCAAGTCCGCAGTCCTCCGCACCGGTGCGCCAGCCTTTCCGCCATTGTCTTTTCCGCGCTTTCAGCAGCATTACTAGCTGGAATCAGCGCGAGCCTGAGCCTAGTTCTTGCAAGTGAGGAAACTGAGGTTTAGAGAGGTTAAGGAAGCCTCTTCTCTCAAGGTTATACTGCAAGGCTGAGGCTGGGTTGAGGAGAAACCCCAGGCTTTTGGACTCCCAGTACACAGCACTTTTCCCATGGAGTCCAACGCCACCTCCCTGAAGCCTCAAGCTCTCAGCAGTCCCCACACGCACAAACCGGATCCATCGTTACAAGTGTTACTTAAAGCATAAAACTTGCTCTTTACCTCTAGACTCCCGCTCCCTCCAGCCCAGCTCTTTTCGTCAAAGCCAAAGCCCCACCACCCACCCATGCACCTTTTCATCTGATGGGTGAGCGGGGCTTAATACCTGTGCAGTTCATGTAATAGGCACTGAGCTGGGCTCTGGATGACGGCTCTGATCCGAGGGTGCAGGGCTGTGTGTGTTGGAGGGTGGCGAGATGCCAACAGGGGACTGCTGCAGCTAGAGAAGCTCACTCTTGGTGCCGACTCCCTCAGCAACTGAGCGCAGCCTAGAGATGTTTCAACTTTATTTAGGGGAAGGTGGTCACGTGGGCGCACCCAAGAAAGGGGAAACCAGGGGAATGAAATGAGGTCAAGGCGTCCTGGCTGCTTCCGCCCTGCCCCTCCCCACCACTGCTAGCCAGAAAGCCGGGCACGGACTTCGATCGGGTCAAGAGAGACTAGTTTATTCCAAGCTTCTGCCCATTAGGAAGTGGAGAAACAAGTTGAGATTGGGGCAACAACCGGTTGACAACCTCCAGGCTCTGGAGAGAGGCGCACCCATCTGGTTGGACCTTAACAACAGGAACCCTGGTGTAATTCGTTGTTTTATCCCTGTGTCTAAAAGGGTGCCTGACATAAAGAGGGAGCTGGGTAACTGCTGGTTGAATTGGAAAGAATTTTCAGCATAGGTGCCCTCTGCCTGGGAGATTTGGACGTCCCTTGGAATCTTTACTATCCTGAACCTCTCTTTCTGAACTTAACCAAACATTGTTATAGGCGGTGGAAGGGCACGAGGTGTTAGACCAGTGGGGTCAGATCAAATCTGGGTCCAGAAACCTCAGTACTTGAGTTTTGGCTAGGAAAAAAATTCAGAGCCAAGACTCAAACTATAAGAACATGTGTTTATAAAATCACAAAGGTAGAATAAGTAATTTGTAGAAGAAATGAGCTTAGGAAATAAGTTATAGAGGTAAAGGAAGGGCCCTTGGAACTTGGGAGTGAGGAAGGTAATGGTAACAAACCTAGGGACAGGAAAGAGGTAAGGGAAAGGTAGGGGTATCTCCCAGAAGAGAGAGGCGCTGGGTCCTCCATCCTAAGGGTTTTAATGATGAGGATTTTAGGGGAGGTCCCAGGGGAAGATCTTAATAGAATATTCAGCAGTTTTCCAGATGTCCTTTTCAGGGTCTAGGTATCCACTGGTTGATTGATCATTGCCAGGGAAGGGGGTCATTATCCAAATGCAGCGGATTCTGAAGTCAGCTGTGGCTGCTTTCGCTGCCTTTCTGGGTTTGGAGCTGAAATACAATCGAAACCTAGATATTATCTCTAAGGAGGAAAGGTTAGGGGATCCAAACTGCATGACCATGGATATGCTAAGGGAGGAAAGGTCACCCTAGGGGTGAGGTCCCACGCTACAATTTGTCCTTTGTTAGGCATTTGGGGCTTTCAGCCCTGGTGACCTTCTTTCTGTACCTGGCCCATCGTCCTTGCTCTGATCATGTCTGTATAATTAATTGACTACCACAGTCTCACGTAGAAGGTACCCTTCCCCTTTCTATTCCTCTCAGCAGTGTCCAATTCCTGAGAGATTCTGTGTGGGCATGCTGAGATAAACATGATCAGTGGAATGAGGCACCAGCTAATCTCTTCAGGGTCCTAAAGCACTTTGTGTCCTCCTCTTTGTCTGTCAGGCTAAGGACTGAGACAGAGACAGATCATCAGAATCAGAGCAGACCTAGGGTTCAAGGTCTCCAACATCTTCAGTTTACAGAAAGACAACCCACAGCCCAAACCTCATTTCCTTACCCACCCAGCAGGGATCACTAATGCTCACCTTTAATGGAGCTCCTAATTTCATTGTTTCTAGATAATCTCAAACGATTGTTCCTGCAAAGATGCAAGAACAACCCCCTAATTTAAGGAAAAAGATAGCTTTAGTAGATGAGCCTCCTCAATACAAAGGAGGAAATATCTTTGATGGAGTTGGAATGGGGAGAAACTCAGCTCTTCCACTTTGTGAAATTGAGAAAATGCAGATTTGGGAGGGTTAGGAATTCCAAGCTTAATTTTATTCATTTGTCTATTACTGCTAAGGTACAGCTGATGGGAATGCAGATATCCATAGCATTCCATGGGTCATTTGATTTCACACCTTTATAGCCTATAATCCTTTGTCTGAAAGCCACTGTGGATCCAAGCCACTTGTTATTTTTCAAACCTAAGATTTCTGAGACTGCTGGAGGCTCTCAGGTTTGACAAGACATCTATATGAGAGATCCTAAAGTCTCTGTAGACTCTAATGCAATATTGAATGAACTTCACTTCTGGAAAATTATTCTTGTGTCTTTGCTTCTATGATCTGGCAAAAGTGGCTCACATAACTGCTTTAGTAGCCACTGGTGATGAACAGTGATATTAGGAGAGGGAGACAGAGGCAGAAGACCTTGGGATATTTAATTTTAGTGCTGCCAATAAGAGGTATGCCTATGACCTTTAGGAATTTACTTTAGAAGAAATTGGACATGAAACAATAAAAAGTGAAATAAGATGAATTAAAAAAAAACCACCGGCAACAAAATGATATACTGCAAAACAGCATGAAGTGAAAGGAGAGGAGAAAAATGACAATTACACAATGAATTCTAAAAGCAAGAGTTCATGTTGTAGCTGATCATTGTTTGAAAGCTGTCTACACTTTTATTACAAATTATAAGCAATTTGGTGGTAGGTTTCTGTGTTTGTTGTTGTTTTGTTGTAAAGTGAAAGCAAAGCTATCACATATTTGACATCTACATTTTATTTAATCTTAACTTTCAATTTGGTGGGGGGTGTGAGTAAATAGAAATTCTGTACTGTTCATTTACTTACCAAGGGTGGGCAGCTGAATACACAGTCAGAAATTTTGTTTAGTATCTGGCTCATGATGTGGTAGTTTATTAGTATTTCTTGGCCATTAATATTGGTCATAAAGATGAGAAGAAGAAAGACTATAATTTTGGCACATGTGGCTGATATTTTAAGTACTGACTATTAGAAAATAAGTGTGTTGAATTGTAAGCAATGTGTGTGTTTTTATTTAAAAGGATGGAGGGGGAGAAAAGCAACTCCCAAACATCCAATTACCCCAGAAGTTTTGCTTATTTATGGCTTGCCTGAAGTTAATATTAATGTGGTCTATGCTTGAAGCAGAATTATTATCTGATTATAATGCTATATGTTTACTTGTTTTGATAAGACAAAGTAGTCATTATAAAATGAATAGGATCATTTTAAGGAGTATGTGTTAAGTAGGGCTTTAAACTTTATGATGGGTTACAGCTTCTGCTTTGGTCTATACAAGCCCTGAAGAAGATAGTTAGGTAACATAAGGGTATACGGTTAAATTTGTATTTCAGAAACTCAGCAAGTAAATGCTAGCATAAGTATGTTGAAAATCTTGTATGGACATACTTATAATAAAAAAGTATTTGTTGTTTATGTAAATAACAGTTTTTTTCTGGAGATAGCCTATTTTTATTTGCTGTATCTGGTAACTCTTGCCCTGAACCACCATGTAAAAAATCTGAATACCTGCTGGACATACCAGTGAGCTTGCCCTGAGACTACATGGATAGAGAGAGGGACTCAGTTGATTCCAGCCTTCCAAATATCTCCTTCAAAGTACCAGACATATGAGTGAAGCTATCTTGGACCCTCCAGTGCAGCCTAGCTCCCAACAGAATACCACTGACTGACCTCAATTTGCACCTAAGGAGCAAAGAAATTAGCCATTCAAGCCCTGCCAAAATGACTCACTCATTAAGTCATTAGATATAATAAAAGCTGTTGTTTTAAGCCACTAAGTTTTGAGGTGCTTTTTATGCAGCAAGAAATAATTCCTATGAAGAAGATCAAAGTTGGAGGAATTGCTCCATTAGATATCATGATTCAGTTTAAACACATAGTAACTAAGGCAGTGGGGTGTTGGTGTAGGAGTAGAAAGAAAGGCTTTTAGATCAGAATAGGAGGCCCAGAAACAAAACAAGGCATATGTGGACTATTAATGTATGACAGAAGTGGTATTGCAGATCAATGGGGAGGTGATGGAGTCTTCAATAAATGATCCTAGCACTATTTCCATATGAAAACACACACACACACACACACACACACACACACACACACACACACACAC